GAATTCTGTCGTGAAATTTTCAAAATAAAAAATTTTGTAATTTGCAAAACAATAATAAGTTGAATATCTTGTACCGCGCGTAACATTTCCTATTGCGTAAGAATGTGGTAGAAGCAATACAGGGTTTAAGGTTCAATTAGGACTTAAAAAGGAGTTGTCAGAGTTAAATAGAACTTACGCAGGAGGAAAAAAACACCAAGGGTTTGTTAGGTGCAGGTTAGGGTTAAATTATACTTACCAGGAGGTAAGCAGGTCTAAAAGTTCGACTCGGGCGGACACTTAAGGATAGGTTTTTATATTATGCTTTTTTTTCCTAAAATAACAAATAGCTATGGTATTCTCAATCATATAATCTAATAAAGGACGTATTCATGAAGAAAATTAAAAAAAATTTGTCACAAATACTTAAGTATAATTGGGCAATTCTCTGGAACCTTTAACTTTTGACTTGAAAAAAAAAATTTACTAGCACATTAATAAAAATTTGTATATAAATTAAAATTAGCATTTAGAATTTATTTTTGCAGATAAAAATGTAATATTTCGAAGGTCTCATATATTTTTATTCTTTTTTAATAAGACGATTTTTTACAGGTTAAAATCTATTGTTTTCGATTGTTTTGGATTTAAATATTTTGGTTGTCTTTACTTTTTTATAATATTTATTATTTATTTTTTAATATTCTCTATTAGAGTTATATTAAATTTAAATTAAATTGGTCAAATTTAAATATTTTAATAAAAATTAGTGAATTTAATTATTATTTATTTATTTAATTAAATTTCTCTTAATTGTAATATTTTTTCTAGATAACCTTAATAATTTCCTTCTCTGATGCAAGTTTTTCAAATTGTATTCTGCTTCTTTTTCCCTTTTTTTCCTTCTTTTTTCCCTCATTTGTTCTGCTTTTTATTCTAAATTTCTTTCATTGACCTCATTATTTTTAACTTTACGAATTACATATTTCTATTTTGAACTTTAAAAACAAAACGGTCAATAGTGAAGTTATCAATTTATCACACTGACAACCTTGAAATCCTAATTTATTGCGACAAAAAATTAGTTTTTTACGGTCCTGACAATTTCGGTCCTGACATTTTCACGTGTACCTCCTTGTATCTCGATAATTATTGAAAATTTTAAGGCGTGCTTTTACACACAAGTAAAAAATATAATTGTGCGAATGTGCGTACAGGTTTGATAAATTTTTATAGTTTTGTTTAATTGTGCCGAATCATTTACGGTCCTGACATAACCAGGTTCTCTGTCGAATTCAAGAACAATATTCTTCAATAATTTCAATATAAATTATTGCACATAAAAATTTCAACTGGCCACAGTTTTAGTAAGTTTTAAGCTTTCATTCTATGTATTGTTGAATTCATTTTATTAAGGCACTCTTGAAATATCTGCAAGTACGTTTGCAGTTACGGTCCTGACACGAAAATAAGGAAAATTTTTCGAAATTAAATATCTTTACCTTCCAAATGCGTATAATCTTCTAATTACTTTTAAAATAATCCTTAGATATTCATTTACATTTATGTATTCGTCGTTTTATTCTATGTTGATGTGCCAACTTATAAAATTAGTTTATGTTTCTGAAAGTACCTAAAGGGACTCTCGTGATTTGCTTACTTTTCCACATTAAAAAATATATATTAATTACTAAACATAATTTAATAATTTTTAAACTAACATATTTTAATATTATCAAACATTCTTTACATGGAACAATAATTCTTTTTATAAAACATTTGATATATCTTGAGTAATTGCATAATAAATATAAGACACCTAAAGGTTAAAGGTTCCAGAGAATTGCCCATTTAATAAAATATAAGCATTTTAATAAAAAATTGAAAAAGCTTCAGTAGTCGGACACTTTTTTCTATAGTCGGACAGAGAAGTTTTAGTAGTCGGACACTGGATTAATAAAGAAAAAAATTCAACTTTAACTGCATTTATATTATGAAATAATGTTAAAGAATTGTTATAAGATAATGACTTTTATTATTGCAAAACTATTTTAAATTTTAAATAGAAGAATGAGTGCCAAAATTTCAAAAAGTGATTATTTATTATATTTTAAAGCCGATGAACATTTTATAACAGCAATAAATAACTCAATAAATAATTTTAATATTTCCAACTGAGGTAATAAGAATAACATTTTAAATTTTAAATAGAAGAATGAGTGCCAAAATTTCAAAAAGTGATTATTTATTATATTTTAATGCCGATGAACATTTTATAACAGCAATAAATAACTCTCAATAAATAATTTTAATATTTACAACTGAGGTAATAAGAATAACATTTTTAAAAATTATATCAATAAACTGTACAGATATGTATTTTAATTAAATAATAATTAATTAATATATCTATTAACTAGATTAAATTACTATTTTAATTGATTTGATATTTTTATTTTATCTTCGACAGATCTAATGGTTTCTTCTTGGCACTGTAGTTTTTTCTTTCGTCCTCGCTTTTTGGTGGTTCTAATTTTTTTGCTTCTTCTTCTTGGGAAAGAATTTTTTTCTTTCGTCCTCGTTTTTTTGGTGGCTCAAGTTTTTTTAATTCTTCCATCTCTTTCTTTTTCTGAATTTTTTCTTCTCGACGCTGTTGTCTGCACGTTTCCAGATTTTTTTTTCTTCATCTTTTTTATTAAAATATTCTCTCCAGGCTGCAGAAGAAATAGCACTAGGTTTCGGTTCAGTTTGTCTTCTATTTTGAGATATTATTGGTTCCGGGTAGAACAAATGTTTCTCAAAATTTGATTTTTCGTAAGTTTGATGCTTCATAATTTCAAGTTGGGAATGTTGGGGTTCTGAAAAATCTTCTTCCACGCATTTCTCAGACAGTTCTTCAACATCAAGTGGTATTTTTTCGTTAACTATTGGACAGGAACAGAATAAAAAAAATGTTTCAATATATAAAAAAACAAATTATTGTTTCAATTTCGGAAAATTTTTTGAAAATAGATTTAAGTTTTTCTTTCAAAATACCATCTGGATTCAAATTAGGAATATTTATACTATTATCAGTATGAACAGGGAGGTTTAAATCGTGTAATAACATCCAGTCATCGAAATCTTGACGTGATTGCTCGCTAGGTTCAAGTATATGAGATTCTTCATTTAAAATTGGATCATTCCAACTGCATAAAATTTCTGAAAGAGAAAAAAAGTAATTTATTTTTTCATTTGTTTTTATTTATTATTTACTTTATTATTTATTTTTAATTATTTAATTTAAATTATTAATTAGTTTAATAAATATAATACAATAATTTAAAATTATTTATTTTTATTTTAATTTATTTTTTACAATCTCATAAATGTATAAAATAATTGCAATATAATTTAGAAAACTTACTAAGATTTGGAATAGAATCCATGTCTATAATAGAATCTACGTGAATGCCTTCAATGGATCCAACGTAACTTGGGTTTCGCGCAGTTTCAATTTCTATCGTAGCTTCGTCATCAATCCCATTTTGTCCTACTGCTACCTCAATGCACTCGACATCGTTTAAATCTTGTAGAATCTCTGAAAATGTAAACGAAAATATTATTTTTTTGTCAATATTTACAATTTCAAAAATCAATATATTTGTTAAACCTACCTTGATCTTCGACAGCTGCTTCTTCTGAGATCGGCAACTCTTCAGTAGGGTGTCCCAAAAAAATAAAAAGTTTTTTTTTATTGGGTCTCATCCCCTAAAATTCTTTCAAATTGTGTAAAAATAAGAACACAATATTTGGAAATAAAAAATTTTAATATTAACCCGTGGTTCAGAGCCTTTGAACCATAAAAACGCTAAAAATGTAGTGTTTTTTCATTTTTAACATAAATATAAATGTCAAAATATAATGAATAGGGTGTCATTGTAAAGATAATTAAATTACCTTTTGATCCATATGTCATAGTATAAGATTCAATGAAAATTAAGAGTGTTACAGTCGATTAAAGATTAAATTTCATGAAAATTTTGATGATTTTTATTTTTTAGACACTCAAGTAACTTGTACTTTTTTACATTAAACAGTAAAAAATATTTAGGTTTTAATTTTTTTATTGAGAGTCTGTAACATTACGAAAATTTTTAGCCCTTGTGGACCTCGATTTGATTGAAAATGACAATTATACACTAGATTTAGTGAACGAAACTATTTTTTTTATTCTTATCATTCCTTCAACATTTGGAGCAAAAATTGAAACAATAAATTTAGATATAACCACTAAACTTACTAAAATCAGTGATAAAAAAATACTGAAGTCGCTGATTTAGAGTCCAATGTCAGTTTTTCAAATTTCAAAATGTCGGAGAACTTCATAAAAGTCGATCGAATTCGTCTCAAAATCGGGTAACGGATTTTGAGACGAATTTAATCGACGATTAAATTACGGATTTTTGTAATGTTACAGACTCTCAATAAAAAAATTAAAATCTAAATATTTTTTACTGTTTAATGTGAAGAAAGTACTAGTTACTTAAGTGTCTAAAAATCATCAAAATTTTCATGAAATTTGATCTTTAATCAACTGTAACACTCTTAATTTTCATTGAATCTTATACTATGACATATGGATCGAAAGGTAATTTAATTATCTTTACAATGACACCCTAATCATTATATTTTTACATTTATATTTATGTTAAAAATGAAAAAACACTAAATTTTTAACGCTTTTATGGTCCAAAGGCTCTGAACCACGGGTTAATATTAAAATTTTTTATTTTCAAATATTGTGTTCTTATTTTTACACAAATTGAAAGATTTTTAGGGGATGAGACCCAATAAAAAAAAACTTTTTATTTTTTTGGGACACCCTACTCTTCAGTCGTTCGGTTTTTTTCTTGATGCAATGTCTGAGCTTTCTAAAGCTCATCTAAGAGAACATCAACATTAATGCCTCGGTCTCTAAAGTCTGAAGCTATTGCTCGAGTTGCTGCTTCCAAATTTACGTAATTTGCAGGATCAATTGGTGCACTGACAGATACATTACAATTTAGATTTTCGAGAGTGTTCTGGATACATTTGGAATAATCCACTGCGTCAGGGTTGAATGGATATAATCCGCAGGCTTGGAAACCATTTTTTATAGTATCAACAAGATCTGTTCTTGTAAGTGTCTCAGCTACCAGTGGCAATCTTCACAATTTGTAGGGTCAGATAACCACTCTCGAACCGTTGTTTTTCAATTTGCTTTCAGAGGTCGAAATACACTCACATCAGCCGGCTGCAACATGTGTGTTGTGTTTGGCGGAAGACCATATAAAATAATGCCATGTTTTTCGCAAAATTCACTTGTATAAGTATTTAGATGAGACTTATGTCCGTCAATAAAAAGCAATACAGGCTTTTCCACGTGATTGTCATCCAGCCAATTGTTGAATCCATTTGAAATGTACTCAAAAAATGTACAACTTTTCATCCAACCACTTTCTGAGTTCCCAATTATCCAATCCGCCGGTACACTGTTTGCAACTTCTTTAGGCATTCGAATATAAGGATAAATGATCATTGGAGGGGCTAGAATTCCATCAGCAGAAAAAACCAGTAACAATGTTAGTGTCTCTTGGACTCCGTGTTTGACTACCGGAGGGTAAAGATATAGTGAATTTACGGTGAGGCGATTGACGGTATACCCGCGCCTATTAATTATTATGAAGTTTATAATAAGTAATTAAATAAGTGAGAAAGTGAATAAGAAAAGTGAAGAGAAACGAACAGATATTACTGAATTGAATTAATTGGATTTATTACAAATCCGAACTGAATTTAATTGAAACTATTAACTCAGTTGAAACTGATGTGCAAGTGGTGTATAAACATAACCTGTCTCTAAAGTGCGATTTTGACCGGCATTTGGATGTAACGTTATAGAGGTTAATTGGAGCTAATGTGGACTATGTAAATTGGAAAATAAGGATGAATCTCTGGATCCTGGAAGGGAAATAATTTAAATAACGAATAAACTGCGAATTAATTCCTACTCAACCAAATGATGAAGGAACGAACTCTCGATAACAAAGGACACTAAAGGTCACATGCGAAACAAAACACGACATCCCAAGTTTGTATTTATTTCCATAATTTCCTGTCATTCTGTCTGAATTCTGTACTGTTGTAACTCTCTTGAATTTGAATTTATTTACTGTAGATTTTAGATACAGAAACTATGGGGCGTTTACAGGGGAATATAATGGCTGAAAATCAGACAGATTTGAGGAAATTGGTCTCTCGAACATAAATTGGTTCATTAGTCCTTTTTTTTCTCTCTTTTTCTTTTTTGAAATTTTTTGAAATAGGAACTTCGTCTGGCATATGGTTCCATGATTTATGCTTAATTTTTTTTTCTTTAAGTTTAAGAAATACTAATAATATTGAATGATAATAATAATAAATATAATCAGTAGTTTAAAGGACAAACTTGCCGTAAACGGACAAGTTTGTTTGTGCTGATCCAGAACTCAATGCGAAGAATGATTAAATTAAATTATAGTAGGAGATTGATTGGATAAGTATATAATTCATAAGGCAAGATAGCCTTAAGAATATTTCTAAATTTGGGTTTGTGGTAATGCATCTCATTTTATACGGCAATTGAATTATATTAAGAAATCGAGAACATTTTAAACAAATTAATCTAATATGTTGTTGAAATAAATATAATAAAGGGCACTACAAAGGGATATGATTAGTCTGGACAATTCTTTCTTTGCTTGTTCTTTTAGAGGAAACTGATTTAAGGGACTGGGAACAAGGTGTTGATTTGAATATTGAATAAAGAGTTAATGAATTTAATAAATTAAGAATAGTAACTAAAGTTTAAACTCAATCACAAGATGGATAATAATAATAAAATTTCAGCTAAGGCAGGAAGGGGAAAAGGCTCACCTTCAAATAAAGGGGATACGATGACTAAATACAATGCGAAGGGCAGAGGTTTCCTCCTACCAGGGCAGGAGTCTCATCCACTCCAGGATCCTGGCTCTCGACCGGGATCCGCTCTGTCAAGTTCTACGGTAATGTCTCCCTCGGAGAGACTAAAATCAGTTACAGAACAACTAGCCGAAAATATATTGGGTATTGGGGAGAGAGGAACCAGATCTTGGACGGAGGACTTGCTGGGAGACTTTAAGGGTAACAAAAGAATACCAGACATTTAAGAAAGCGCACAAGGGAAACAAAACAACGAGAGATCAGTGACAGCAATAACAATAGCAGAAATCCTAATGAAAAAGAGGGTAAGCGGATAAAGGAATTCAATCAACTGACAGGCGAATTTTCATCACCCTCACAAACCAATAAGAAAAGTGTTGCTGATCCTCTGCAACAGTTTGAACAATTACCACAGACCTCAAATCAAGTTACGGGAGAGGGAGGAAAAGAGTTCAATCGGTCACAGTATGATCACCCCTTTACAGAAACACAAGTTTACACAGCGAGTTCACGAGATTCATTTCGTGAATGGGTAAGAGACGAGGAAGACCAGCAATTAGTTCAATATGATGATTACAATGAAGCACCATATCTGGTGCTCCTAGAATCATTTGATCGGGAGCGGAATGTAGGCAGATATGACCCCGTGGTTCTGGGGAAATTAATATCTGAAATTATTAAGGGAGAAAGAAGGATCTTCCAAAGTGGGTAAAACCAAGTGAAAATTTGGTGCTCAATGTTGAATGATGCAAACCAACTTCTTAAATCCTCCGTTCTGACGGCAAGAGGTTATAAAGTTTATGTCCCATACTCTTTGTTATATAAAAAAGGTTTTATTAAAATTTCACCTGAGTATTCAGTTTCAGAGATCATAGAGAATATGGATGAAGAGGAAAGGAGCACCATAGTGTCAGCACGCAGAAGGCAGAGTAGGAGAAATGGCCAACCGCAGGACATTATTGACTTAGTGTTTTCAACAACCCATGTACCAAGAAGCCTTTTTATCTGGAGTGTCCGGATTTTTGTCACTCCTTCAATACCATCACCTAAGAGATGCTTCTACTGCCAACACTTTGGTCATGTTTTGAATCAATGCAGGTCTGGTCATCCTAACTGTGAATTTTGCGCAGAGAGGCACGATACGAAGAAATGCAATAATCCAAGACCAGGGAATATCTGCTTTAACTGCTCCGAGGATCACAAGGCGTCATCAAGGGACTGCCCTGTGTATAAATACGAGTTCCAGTTGATGAAGGAGAGGTACCTTCATAATATCTCTAAAGAGATGGCTTATGAGAAGTTAAATGATCTTGGATGGGTTAACCCAAGAAATTTTTTCAATCGAAGCTCATCATCATCAAATAGTTCAACATCTCCATCTGAAAATAGTAGCGTGAAAGCCAACAAAGAACAACTAGGAAACAGAACAACTAATATAAGCACTGCTCAATTAGAACATTCAAACAGACAATTAACAAACAATATAACGGGATCTGAGGCAGCAGCAAGAGCGCATTTGGGCCTTCTCAATACACAAGAAATGGTGGATGATGATCTGGTAAATGAAAGTGCATCCGCGAGAAGACATCTTACACAAGAAGAGGAGAAGGAGAGTGAAGAGGAAGAGTGAGATAATCGAGAGAAAAATCGTCCATTTAGTAGTGCCTAAATATACTTTAAGTTCAATTGATCAAATAAAATAAATAAAATACTCAGTGTGTTATAAGAACTGAAATTAAATTAAATTAAAACAAATTTAATTATTGAATTAATTAATATTGGACTGGCATTATAATTTAGTTTAGTTTAATTTAATTAATTGATTTATAATAGGAGAAAAAGAAAAGTTAAAGTGCTGGTGAAAATACGTATAAAATAAACTAACGCAGTGACTTATTGGTAGAATAAAATCACGAGTTATTGTTGATGAAACCGTTGTTAATTATAATTGCTTTATATTGAGTTACATTAATTTAGTTTAAATTATAGACTTTAGTTCTGGTTTTGGTTTAATTAGTTTGTATATAATTGAGAACATTTTAGTTATAACTGAGTTAACAAGGCTGGACACATTGATACAAAATGGTATTTGTTCAACTTAGTAAATAATTTTAGGTCTATGAGTGCGAGAAGGAAACCGATATTATTAGATTGTCGTTAGGATATTAGTTAAATAAACAATGAACATAAATAAGAACCTCACTTGTGCTACTTGGAATGCACGAAGTGTTAAAAATAAAAAGATAGAGGTGGAAACTCTAGTTTTCCAAAATAATCTAGATATACTATCAGTTACAGAGTCCTGGCTAAATAGTGAAAGTGATTGGCAACTGAGAGGGTATCGAGCTTTTCGATTTGCCAGACAAGGACCAATGGCAGGAGGTGGAGTACTGACACTGGTTAAAAATTCACATATCATCGAAAAAATACAACTCAAGGCGACATGGACCGAGGTCATGGAGGCTGTAGGAATAAAAGTCAGAACGGGAAATGGACCAATTTATGTAATTACAGTATATATTACGCCAAATTCTAAGGTCACGTTGGATCATTGGTTAGAGCTGTTAGATGTAATACCACGGGAGGAAAAAGTGGTCATTATGGGTGATCTGAATGCACACACCCCAATTTATGGACCATATGGGATTAATCCCTCAGGAAGAGCAATTATGGGTATCATGGAAATCAACAATCTAATTCTATTAAATGATGGAATCCCAACGTTCGGGGATCAGAGGGGGATGACGGGGAGCGTTTTGGATTTGATCATGGTATCAGCATCGCTCAGTGTGGCAACGGAATGTTGGACTTCTGAGGATACAAATGGTAGTGATCACTTTCCGGTATTCCTCACAATCACAATTGAATCACCAAAAGCTTGTGAAAGCTCGAATAGACTTAGACTCAATAAAGTGGACTGGATACGATTTAGAGAGGCAATGGAGCAGTCTGTTCTAGTAGAAAAACAGACAAATCATTCAACCTTGACAGATAAGTATTATGGCTTTGTTAACGCCTCAATTAGTAATCTTAAAAAAATGGGAGCATATATTCCCAAAAACTCGACTGAAAAATCACCTGTAAAACCTTTATGGTGGACGGAGGATTGTAAAAGGGTGCTAGAAGAAAAAAAGAATGCCAGGAAAATTTATATAAAGGAGTCCACGGATGCAAACATGAAAGTTTATCTCGAAATTGAAAAAAAAGCCTCAAGAGTTTTGTTCGAAAGTAAAAAGAAATCGTTTAGAGATCTATGTGATTCAATAAACCCCACTATGGGTTCTAAAAGAATCTGGGGACTCATTAAGGCCTTCCAAGGCAAGTTTACTACACCTACAAATCTGTCAAATGATCCTGAAGCGGATGAATTCACCGATTTGAAAGAAGAATTAATTAGGAGGGAGGTGGGTGTAATACCCACTCCAAAAAAGGACGCGATAGATGACATCTCACCTTATAACCTACCATTCACCCTGGAGGAATTTAATTCAGCGTTGACATCTTGTAATAAGGAATCCTCCCCGGGTCTGGATCAAATATCGTATGAGGCACTATCCAAACTTCCTAAAGAAGGTAATGACTATTTTAAGTCAATACTTAATGATTGTTTTCAACACTCTGAGTTCCCAGATTCATGGAGAGAATCATTTGTGAAATTCATTCCTAAACCAGGTGGGAAAGGAATGCGCCCAATTTCATTGACTTCAAATGCTGGGAAATTAATGGAAAGGATGGTGCAGCGCAGACTCGAGCATTTTTTGGAATCTAAGAGACTGATACCTCCGCATCAGTTTGGTTTTAGACGCAGTAGATCAGCGATAGATTGTGTCTCGGTGCTGGTGATTGATGCGATGAATGGATTCGCCAAAGGAAGGGATACAGCAATCATGGCGCTTGATCTGAAGGGGGCATTTAATGCCTTACTTCCGGCTAGAGTTTTGGAGGACCTCTCAACTTGTAAAGTACCAGAGAGGATATTCAACTTCGTTGCGCACATGATTACGGATAGGAAACTTGTTTTTGGTAGGGTTGCTGGAGACTCACACCCTTGTGGATCAGGGGTTCCACAGGGAGGGGTATTGTCGCCTTTATTATTCAATTTTGCTTTGAGGAAAATAAATTATTATCTTCCTGATGGAGTGAAGATTTTGCAGTATGCCGATGACATTTTGTTATATTGTAGGTTTGACGATATTGATGAGGCAGTTAAACTTTTGGAAGAAGCAGTCGCAAAGCTGAAGCCCTGGCTGCTCAGCTACGGACTGAGTTTGGCTGCGAAGAAAACACAGCTGTGCATCCTGGAACGGAGAAGAAGGGATTATACGGGAGTTTCTGTAAGGTTGGATGAAGACATCATCAGGGCTTCCCCGGCAATTCTTTACCTGGGAATAATGTTGGATGCAAGGTTGTCTTGGAAGAATCATGTGGATTACATTGCAGGAAAGGCATTGAGACCAGTGAATATCTTGAGGGCCCTGGCAAGGGTCTCATGGGGGGCTAACCCGGAGATCCTACTCAGGGTATACAAGGGCCTCATTAGAGCCCATCTTGAGTGGGGGGCAGCAATATTTGCAGGAGTCCCTAGCAGTACTTTGAAGGCTCTGGATAGAGCGCAATACCAGGCTCTGCGTGTCACCATGGGTTGCATGAGAACCACACCAATACCTATATTGCTTTCAGAGGCGGGAGAACCACCATTGAAGGTAAGGAGAATGAGAATTTTAAAAAGATATTCAATACGAGTTGCTTCTTAGAGGGATAATCCAATTGCACCAAGACTTAAAGGCCTAAAGGAAAAGTTGAATAAAAATCCGAGAGCAGCCAACTATTTAACTAATTTCTCTTTATTGCAATGTTTAGAACCCATCTCAGATATCATGCAGTTCAAACCAGGAATTAGGAGACCGGGATATTTCGACTACTCGTGGACGGAGGTCATGTACGAAATGAACCCCATCATGGACCTGCAAACGGGGTATAATTTAAGGAGCGCTGAAGATCCCAATGAGGAATTTCAAGAGTTGATCAAAAGGGATTATGACTCATATATGTGCATTTTCACGGACGGGGCGCATATGAGAGGGGAAATGGTAGGAGCCTCCAGCTTTTTCATTCCTGGGATTAACGTGAAGCAAGCATCCAAACTGCAGAACTGCTTTTCAGCGGTAACAGCGGAACTTCACGCAATCTTCCAGGCTCTAAAATATGTCCTTGAGGTGGAATGTCCTCTGTCTGTTATCTGTACAGATTCACAGGCAGCACTTATTAAGATCAGGGACAGAGCAAAGGACTTCGCACAGGATAAGATTATTTTCGAAATTACGCGTTATATAACTCTCATTAATAAGGGGGAGAGAAAAGTCAAATTCCTATGGATACCTGGACACTCCAGGATCGAAGGAAACGAGAGATCGGATCAACTAGCGAAAACAGCAATAGGATTAGATATAGGACTATATATCTTACCTATGAAGGAGGACATGGAGAAATTGATTCTTAAGGACTACGAGGCACACCTGAAATACGATTGGCCATTCTTCAACACTGATAGGGCAAGACAAAAATACTTTGAACACGTAGATATGAAAACAGAGCGACCTTGGTTCATTGGTTATGATGCTCCTAGAAGTCATATTAATCTAATTACACGACTTCGAACAGGACATATATGTACTGGATCTCACTTTATAAAAATGGGATGGAATATATCTCCTCTTTGTAAGTGCGGGCAGGAGAATAGTTCACTAAAGCATTTCTTACACAACTGTGAAATTTTTTCACAGGGAAGAACCCAATTCTATGAATTTCTGTCAAGAAAGTTGGGTAGAACATATAGACTACTAGAAAATCTTGATTTTTTAATTTTCTATCCAAATTTAGAGGTAATCACAGAGATAGGCAATTTCCTCACTGGGAAGGGTGTTATCATATAGATCAGTTTAAAGTTTAAGTTATTTAGATATAAGTTGAGTTTGTGTTTTGGTTTTAGTTATAGTTTGTTTGAAAATAAAAGAAATTATGCAAGTTTGCAGTTGAAAATGGTCAATTAGTTAACCATGGATGAAGATAATGAATAGTGGGAGAGGAAAGAAAGAGGAAAGAAAGAAGGAGTGATAAGGTAAAATTTTTGATTTGTATATTGACTCATTAATGTGATGCATTATCACATCCTTAATGATATTTGATCAATATTTATTTGCCTAATTAATTAATTTCGAAAGATAGCAATCTATGATAGAGATATATTTGCTCTGGATATTAAAAATTGATTTGAATTGAATCCGAGGGATACGGAATTCTGTGCGTAGACACACTGGTCTGTTACGTTGTGTTGAGAAGTCATATTTGTATACAGTATGGAGAACTTGGGATCGTATGTCAGATAAAGTAAAGTGTAATTATATCCAATATTTAGTCAGAGAAATCAAGATATTAGAAATTTGGCTCAAGCAAGCCGTGAGTTTAGGCGTCAATTGCCTGAATGTTGCTAAAGGGGAAATTTTTGTTAATAAGATATTAAAGTAAACTTAAAAACAATAAGAAAATATGTATATGTATATATGCATACGGAAATAAAGAGACAATAGTATAAATATCCATATTTGAAATCCCCGCCAATTCATTCATATCCATACCCTGTCCATATACACCTATACACACACTTACACTTAAACTTGACATGCGCATACAGAAAATGAATGAGAGAATTTAACCTAAGTAAAGCTTGTTTCGTGATAACTTGAACTAGCAAGAATAATAAATTGCTAGTTACGATATTTATAAACTGTTTATAAGAGTAAAGATTATCTTTATGTGAAAAGAATTGGCCTGATTATTCGAAGCCACACCTTCGCTACCTCCTAAAGGTAGCAACAAGAAGAAGAAGAAGAAGAAGAAGTTAGTGTCTCTTTATCATTTCCAAACTGCACATCATATACATTTTTCCAGCCTTTTGGCCCAATAACTTTCCCATTTTTTGGACACAAAGAAAAAGCCGTTTCATCCCCATTAAATATTCGAGAAGAATTACTTTTAAATCATTCTGTTACACTAATACTACCTAAAAAAGTTTATACTATTACTAAATAAAATCTCTGAATTGTTGATGCTGGAATAAGAAATTCACACAAAATGTCAAAACACCTGGATGAGTATCGTATTTTTTTTTTCACTCGCTTAGAAATCAACAGAGTGCGCTGCAGTGCATTTTTATCATGCCTGCCTGCGCAGGCAGGAGCAACGAGAGTAAGGGAGAAGTTTGAAGTCACTGACTCTCTTA